TGACATGACCATGGCTACGATCGTATTACTACCTAAACCCAGAAAGGACCTGCTCCAGCCCACGAATTACAGGCCTATTTCGCTCATTAACCATGACATGAAGATCCTAGCGAAAGTGCAGGCGGATAGATTGAATCCGTTGCTGGCCTCACTCATACATCCAGACCAAGTGGGTTTTATCCAAGGGAGACAATTATTTGAAAATACAAGGAGGAATGTTGACCTGATATGGAAACAAGAGATCACCAGGACACCCACCCTGATAGTGTCTATCGATGCCGAAAAGGCCTTTGATAGGGTTCGGTGGCAATTCCTGTTCTCCGTTTTAAAACATTTGGAATTTCCGGTGGAATACATAACGGTGGTAAGAGCGATGTATCATGAGGTGAGGGCACAAGTGCTGATAACTGGAGCCCCACTGAAACCTTTTCGTTTATTTAATGGGACCAGGCAGGGATGTCCGCTTTCCCCCCTTCTCTTTGTCTTAGCACTGGAACCCTTGCTGCAAACAATACGCAAGCATCCCAACATTAGAGGGGTCAGAGTTGGGAATAAAGAATTCACCGTCTCGGCATATGCTGATGATGTCCTCCTGACCGTAACAGACCCGGTTACTTCGATGTCGGCGTTACAAGAGGTAATGACAGCATATGGAACAGTGTCCGGTTATAAAGCAAATATGCACAAATCCAGTGCTATGTCAGTGGGCCTATTGGAAACGGAAACAAAGGAAATACAGGAGACCTTCCATATACGGATGGAAAAGGTTTCTCTGACATACTTAGGTATCCACCTGACGGCAGATCCGGAAAGACTATACTCCGCGAATTATACTCCGATGCTCAGGGCTTTAACGCAAGATCTAGAAAACTGGGTGGATAAACCCATCTCCTGGATAGGTCGGATAAATTCAGTCAAGATGAATATCCTCCCACGCCTCTTATTCTTATTTCAAGCACTACCTGTTCAACTTACGAAAGCACAACTATCCCCACTACAAAAAGCGATAGGGGATTTCATATGGCAGAATAGGAGGCACAGAATATCAAGAAAGATCCTGTATAGACGCAAAGATAGAGGGGGGCTCGGCTTACCTAATCTATATTTCTACTATCTTGCAGCACAACTGACGCAGATAGCCATGTGGCACTCCCCACCGGAAGAAAGAAGGTGGGTAGAGGTTGAGTCCATGCTGGTAGGATCGGATATACCCCAATTTACGATGTGGGTCCCTAAAGAACATCGGCCAATGATAAGAGTGACCTGCCCGGCTATACTCAACTCGCTACATATTTGGGACATGACTAATGCCAAATACGGGCTAGCGTCAACCCCGTCCCCTCTCACCCCTATTCTTAGAAACAGAGAGTTTCCTCCCGGCATGGCTCCAAGAGATTTCCGAAATATCGAAAATACCGGCCTACAACGGATCCATCAGTTATACCGCAACGGAGAAATAGTCCAATTCGAGGAGTTACAACAAGACCGCCATTTAACACCGGCAGATTTTTTCAGATATGTCCAGATACGGGATTTTGCCCGAAGGCCACGTATTAGAGCCGCGGCACAGAAACAACTGACTTTCTTCGAGAAATTGTGTTCAGAGGAAATGGCACCTAAAGGTATGATCACACTTCTGTATACACACCTTAGTATAGAAAACAAAGAGTGGGGGAGTTTAACGTATACTGAGCAATGGGAGGCGGACCTTGGAGAGGCCCTGGAAGGACTTGAATGGCAGGAGATATGGGAATCTAATAAAAATGCTTCCATATGTGTTACGCTCCAGGAACAGACATGGAAGACTATGTTCAGGTGGTATACCACACCAGTGAAACTGTACAACATGCATAAACTAGATACGGACATTTGCTGGAGAGGCTGCGGATTACGCGGAACGTACATCCATATGTGGTGGAAATGCTCGAAATTACACAACTTCTGGAAAGCGGTGGAGGAACTCTTGGAACAAACCTTTGATAAACCCCTGAAGTTAGACCCCTGGACATATTTGCTGAATAGAACAGTAGAAGGGTGGACCAAGAGAGAACAGAGATTAGCTCATAAAATAACTCTAAGCGCGCGTAGAGAGATAGCAATTAAGTGGCTGAAACCGGAGGGACCGGTTTTTTCTGGGGTGATCTCCAGGGTACGTGAATGCAGGATTATGGACGATTTGACTGCCAGGATAAAGGGTACGACTGTAACTTTCCAAAAACTTTGGGAACCGTGGGACAATAGCCCAGTGGGCTCGAGCAGTGACTGACAGGGAACGGACCATAGCATAGACTGGGTACACTTATCGATCCCCCTCCCCTTCTCTCCCGAGGACATTTTGATTGCACTACTGTTGGAATGAGGGCTCCCCCCCCCCTCCCCCTTCCTCTCTCTTTTCTTTTTCCTTTCCTCTGATCTTTTTCTCTTCTTACTTTTCTCTTTCTACTGTACTTTTGTCTCCTGTCCCTTTTCCTGCTATCTATTTTTCTCTCTTTTCCGTTCTCTCTATCTCTTGATAGCCAAGAGATTAGTGTTTCTCCGCGATAGGTTTAATCAAGCTGTCAGAAGTGCTGGGATACCCATACATAGAAAGGGCTATAACACGCAGTGTAGTAGACTGGGTCCCAAATATAGCCAATATGCCTGTGAGACAGGTGACAGCTCCCTTAATGGGGCAGCGACCGGAGGGGAACGCGGGTAGATCTCGCTTGGCCTACCTGATATATATATCTTAGCTTTTTACAAATCTCTAAGCGGGCTTCTGCATAAGCCTGAAGGTTTCTATGCAATTGTTCCACCCGTTGAGTGAAAGCATACAGTTCATCCAAAAACTCTAGACGGGTAGCAAGGCACCAACGATTTCAACATGACTTATCGATATGTAATGGATATACGCCTCTTGTGCCCAAGGCAGTGTTGCTTGCCATTGGCTTCTGCGTAAGCATTTAAGTTAGCCATGTACTTGCTATAACCTATAATATGACACACACAAAAAAAAATAAAAAATAAAAAATATGTACATCTGGGGTGTTATTCAGAGATTTATGACAGATAATAGTGTTACAATGTCACTATTGATAAATTTTAAAAATGTATGTTTTGAAACCGCAATATCCTACTTGTACCTATAGCCCTATAACATGCAAAAAAAAGCAAAAAAGCACGTAAACACTAGGTATTTTTAAACTCAGGACAAAATTTTGAATCTATTTAGCAGTTTTTTTCATTCGCTTTTGTAGATGAGTAAAAGATTTTTCAAGTAAAAGTCAAAAAACATGTATTTTTTTCAATTTTTCATCATATTTTTTTATTTTTTTTAAATTAAAATACATGAGATTATATAAATAATGGTATGTAAAGAAAGCCCCTTTTGTCCTGAAAAAAACAATATATAATTTGTATGGGAACAGTAAATGAGAAAGCGGAAAATTACAGCCAAACACAAACACCACAAAAGTGTAAAAATATGCCTGGTCGCAAATGTACAACATCGCAAAAACAGTCCAGTCCTTAAGGGGTTAATCTATAACATTTTTATTACATATGATCGCCTATTGTTTATTAAGGCTTAGATAGTGCTGACTAAAAGGCACCCTACTCTACATGAAGTCTGAAATGTGTAGCCTAAGTGTAATGCTAGCCAACTTGCATATTAAGTCGTTTCCTGCATTTTCATTTTTTTAACTTATAACCATGCATATTCAAAAATAGTCTTCATGTTATCATATAAAAACTGTGCATTGTGTTCCTATGCCATGCCTTAGCAAATCGATGTTAATTGTTAAATCGTGAGTACATGATATTGGGGCATGACAAACGCATTTGTAACTGCTTTTTCTTTATGCACTCACAAAATAAAGAATTAAAAATAATAATAAATAAATATAAAAAGGCAACTAGCCTATTGCAGGCAAAATACTTATCACAATAAATAAATGAGTTAAAATGTTAACTGAACTTGAGTGTGCTATTATCACAAGATATATTATTTTTTATTTAAATTATACAATTATAACTAGCTATATAACATATGATCAGCATCCAGTTTCATTCTATCTTGGAAATATCTGTAATTAAAAACACAGGGGGTAGTTAATATAACCCTACTTTTTAACCTTTTCTAATAGATTAAACACTCACATGGTTGGGTTTTATAGCAACACTCTTGTGATTATGGGATAAATTGTCTTCAATTCCCAATACTTTTTAGTTTTTGTTTTGCTAAATTTGTACATCAGTTGTGAAAGATGTCTTAATTATAGATCTTATTATGAATATGAATGCTTATAGACATTCCACTTACGCCTATGATTATGCATGTAAACATGTAAGACATTTCCATCTCAATTTGATTTTATTCCCTTCCTTTCCCACTGTTCTGGATTTTCTCTTTTTTTTTATCCATTTTGTACATATTTTTCTAGCATTTGAATCAAATGAAGAATGCACTGGTTCTTGCTTTATGGCTGATTGTTTGTTGTGTGTTCTATTGGTTTTCAACACCAATGGTTTTGTCAGTGTTCCTACGGGAACTTGACTACGTCCTGAGTTATATTTAACAGTGTTCTAAATGTTTTATGTACTTTGTATCAATTTAGCTGAGTTTCTGTTTATTGGTTAATGAAAAACGCAATACTGTGTACTAGGATATGAGATTTTCTATATCATGTCTTTGATTATAAACATGTCAGATCACTAACTAAACATTAGCATTGAGTTAGTTTGGGACTGCATGTCCTATATTGATCAACCAACCAAAGGCTGAGCTTCATAGGAAACAGTCACTGGGTCAGAGAACAGTTACAATCACTACCTACACCAACATTACATCAATTATAACACACTTATACTTTGCATTTGATAGAGAAACAACATAGTCACCAAAATGTCAATTAAGTATTTGATTTGTTTTTCTTATTGTAAACCTGTAATGAGGTATTATAAAAATACATTTTCAATTAAATAGCAAATTTAAATTTGTTCAAAACAAAACTGTTGTTGAGCTGATAAGCAAGCATAATGTGTAAAGGAGAGTTGGGTATCTATGAACACAATAAGAATGGGAGCATCTGGACCTGCACTCAGTGTGAGTGTGCAAGTATGTGTGCCTTGGGAAAGTTATCAAAGAGCATGCACTTAGGTGCCAGTGTCTGTCCGTGTGTGGATAGGTCTAAGAGTATGTGTGGGTGTCTGTGATTTTGTGCTTGGTACTAATTGTAGCTTGTGGTATCATTTTATTAACATTAACTACACTAATATTGGGTCTAACTATTAATGAAAAAGTGGAAGCTGGTTATATAGGTGACATCTTGAGGCAAAACACTTTAATACACCTCTAGGCCCACTTTGGATCTTGAGGTGCAATACTACGTTTGACTTCTAAACTATGGTCTTTACTGTATATGACTCTTGCCTTAGAATATTTTATTGTCCAAATACTTTGAAGGCAATAGGACCATATTGTATTCCAATTCACAAGTGAAGACACTATGAAAACCTCATGTTATGGAACAGAAATTGTAAAGAACCAAGGGGTGAGTCTAAGACTTCACCACATTAAATTTCACCAGCTACTCTGTCTAAGGGGGCCTTGTTGGTGACTTAAACTATTCAATTTTTCAGACTCTAATTCTCTGCTATTTCTTTCAACAATAATTTGAACTTTGAACCTTTCAAAAAGGAGGTTATATCCATATGCACTCAGCCTTACCTTATTTTTAGTTACTGGTGTTTGATAGATTTGTCTTCTGATGTTTCATATAATCTGCTTCAAACCAAGTAAATTGGTATAAGTTTTTTTAGAGAAAATATTTTGCAGGGAAGATCAATGTAAGCAGGCATTATTGATTGTTACAGTATTTGTTTCAGTCTAAAAAGCAAATGTAGCCTGAAAAATATAGATATGTGCATTTAACCAAAATATGGTGATGTATTTGTGAGGTCAAAATAAATATCTGCATTTATTCATGTTTCATGCATGAAAAGCTGCTATACAGAGACACGTGCATTAAAGAAGGATATATGGGACATTATTTTACACATTGTTTACTATGTTACATACGTTATTTACTAAAGTGAAAATAATTAGGACTTAAAATTGAATTTCAAGGCAAAGTAGCCAAACTGGTAGCATAGCTATTTTGGCCTTATATTTAAAATTTACTTTGAATTCACTTTAAATTACTGATAATTCTCACTTTAGTGAATAACTCTGACAGTATACATTGGTTGTCCTGCAGCCTTACTATTAATCAACCTTGTACCATTTGTGTTTTCTAAGAGAAGTGGGACACAATGTAAGAATCCCATAATAAAGTTGGCATTATTGTACCTGCAAAATGAGTTATATGTTAATCATACGAGTTAACTAAAGCAGATGTTACTAGATACAACTGCAAATTAGTTATCAAGTAGATATTCACAATGGGCACAATTTGGGGTTTGTCAGAATAGCACAGAAGACTACCAGTATCTATCTGTTTCCTGAAAATTACATATATATATATACAGTGGATAGTTAATACAATGTTAAACACAGATCTGCACACCAGTCAAGCCATAAGACTTCCTTTTCCCACAGAAATCCCAAATCTGTAGTGATGTTACTACCGCAAAGGATTCTGGGTGGGCATATGCAAATTAGTTTAACAAAGAATCACATTTTTGCCTCATTCCATTTTAAACATGGATTCCTTTTAATCTGTGTTTGCAGTATACAACTACTTGGAACACAATTTAGTAAAAGATGCAAAACCAGTGAACATCACTGCAGATTTGGGATTTCTGTGGGAAAAGCAAGTCTTATGGCTTGACTGGTGTGCAGATTTTTGTTTAACATTGTATTAACTATACACAGACTTCAGGTGGAAGGGGTTTTCAATCACAATTTTTCCCCATAACCTATTTGGATTTATATATATATATATATATATATATATTTTTTTTTTTTTACAAATATGCGTTTATTATTTAAGTAATTCTTTTTTCTGATTGGTCATATTCACATGATGCCATGATAGAGCCATGCAATGTAAAATCGCATTTCTTTCCACAAAAAAAAAAGAAATCAATAAATAAATTAGATAATCACATTGTATGACTGCAGGGAAGACCAGCTTACTCTTAGACAGGAAAATACATTGGGCTGTAAGCATTGTATGACTCCCACAGGTGGCTAACATCTCAAAAATATGCTCAATATCAATAAAATAATTTATAATGATTTTATTAAACATAATACAGAATTGATTTTGTTTTTATTTTTTAACACTGGTTTTGATATTTTTAACATTGTATTTTAATATTTTTGATTAAAAAAAACAAAAACATAATTTTGTTCTGTAAAAACTGAAATCATGAGATGTTATGTATGATGAGATATTAACAGTCACTTCAACTTGGTCTTATATAAAGCTGTTAGAGTGCCAAACCCTGTCGTTCTTGGTCAAAAAACAGTATTTACAAACACATCCATTATATTTATCTAACAGGCAATGATGTTGAGATTGCACTTTACTGAGGCACATCATATACATTTGGGAACAGACATCAAAAAATCGTGAGCAGCACGAACAGTCCGTAGAGCAGCGCACAAGGGTATGCCACGAGGAACTGCTGTCCTTCCATAGCCAACGTGGTGATGAATATTTTTGAAGCTGAGAAACTGCACCATCCAATAACAGCAGCTGCCAATACTGTCCCAACAATTCCTCTATTACAAAGAAAATAAAACATAATGAATCCAATCCATAATGAAGTAACTTCCATTTATACTGAAGATAAATGTAACATGAGTGATATTTACTGTGTAGGACATGGTCTAATGCAAAAAGGTGTCTTAAATGTACATAAATCAATATCTGTCCATCTGTCCATCTGTCTCTATCTATCTATCTTTCTATGACATGTGCGTTATGTTTGGGTCCATTTAAATGCATAGAAACCTCCCCTTACCAGTACATAGAAATAACAGCTTTGCAGTTTTCTGAGCTGTTTTGATAGAGGAAATTACACAGGCAACAAATCTTACATCTCAAATGCAACAGAGCTCCAACAGAAGAAATGGAAATGCCTCTACATTCCTATGGAATGGAATGGATTTATATACTTTTTTATATTGCATTTTCATTGTTGGTTGTTGTGTGATTTGCTTGGCGACTAGACTTGTGTAAAGAAAAATTTGCTTTGGATGAATCACTTCTAGAAATAATATTTCTGTCATATTTCAATTTGTGATAACAAAAAGGGTCAGTCATTGAACTGCAAAATATATAGGTTATATAAATATTATGTATACATTTTACAGTACACTGATTGGTACATTTTCCCCCCACTACCCATTTTATTTGGTTCATGATTCGAGTACATCTGGGCTCTGCATTCAGGAATTTGACTGAACACTCAACCGGTTCAAATTCGAATTAAAGGACCACTATAGTGCCAGGAAAACATACTCGTTTTCCTGGCACTATAGTGCCCTGAGGGTGCCCCCACCCTCAGGGACCCCCTCCCGCCCGGCTCTGGAAAGGGGAAAGGGGTTTAAACTTACCTTTTTCCAGCGCTGGGCGGAGAGCTCTCCTCCTCCTCTCCTCCTCCGTTCCGCCGGCTGAATGCGCCGCGCGGCAAGAGCTTCGCGCATTCAACGATGCATAGGAAAGCATTTACAATGCTTTCCTATAACGCTTGGCGTGCTCTCACTGTGAAAATCACAGTGAGAAACGCGCAAGCGCCTCTTAGTGGCTGTCAATGAGACAGCCACTAGAGGATTAGGGGGAAGGCTTAACCCATTAATAAACATAGCAGTTTCTCTGAAACTGCTATGTTTATTAAAAAATGGGTTAACCCTAGAAGGACCTGGCACCCAGACCACTTCATTAAGCTGAAGTGGTCTGGGTGCCTAGAGTGGTCCTTTAACTGCAGTTCATAACTAAACAAATCTCCAAATCTTTTGCTAACATTGGCATTTATATTTGTACCCTTTTCCCTTTGATGTTACAGAATAACACTTAACTTACCTATAAGGTGTGATTTTCATGATTCATGACAGTATTTGTTTTAGGCGTGACATGGCTAGATTAAAATATTCTAGCACATTGATTCCCAAATATTTTAGGTTCAAGGCACCCTTAATATTTCAATATTTTTTCAAGGCGTCCCAAGTCAAAACAATTTCCTAGGTTGTATATGTGTACAGCGCATCAGCATATACTGGGCTCCTGTTCGGCAGAAATGCTTGCCATTCAAGCGCAGATCCAGAACCTAATCTTGGGAGGGGCACTGGTAGATTATTTAAAGAAACAATCCAGGCACAATAACCACTAGGGCACTTTGTAGTGGTTATGGTGCCAATAGTGCCGTAGTATCTCCCAGAGTAAGTAGTCAAACTGTTTAAGAACAGTTTGACAACTTACCTGGGATCTGCCGGGATAGGGGCTGTAGAAGAGTATACGGGCAGTAATATGTGTGAGTGGTGGAGTATTTTGGTGTGTGTGTGTGTGTGTGAGGGGTTCAGTGTGAGTGAGGGGTACAATTTGTGTGTATGGATGGGCAGTGTGTATATGGGGGGGCTGTGTGTGTGTATGGGGAGGTAATTGTGTGCATGGGGGGGTAATTGTGTGTATGGTAGGGTCAGTGTGTGTGTACGGGAGAGCAGTTTGTGTGTATGGGGAGTTATATTGTCTCTGTTGGCGTAGGAGGTCAAATTCATAAATAGATTTAAAAAAATTTAACTAAAAATAATTATTTTCATATCCCTCTTTCTGCTAACCTTTGCCTGGGGGACAGTACTAATCCCTGGTGGTCCGGTGGGGAAGTCCTGGCGGTCTTAGTGGTGAGAGTGAACTCTGGCCTGCAGCTCAGGCTAGAGTTCACTTTAGCGAGTTTTGGAGCATTGCTGTGGTAACCACGGCAACACACAGAGCTTGCAAGAGGAGAACCCACTGGAGCTTCAGGTTAGAGCTCCCCCGGGTCCTCTCTCCCTCCTTCCCCTACCAGCTGCTGCATTACACTGCTAGCGGGCTGGTGAGGGAGATCTCTGATCTCCCCTCCTGTCCTGCAGAGCCTGCAGGCGAAAGGGAGGCATGGTTCCTGGTGCTATGATCATATGGGAAAATATCTTGCGGTGCCCCTGTGTACCCATCTGGGGCGCCCCATAACACAGTTTGGGAAGCGCTGTTCTAGCACAAAGATTTTCAAATGATTTAATCTTTCATCCCACAATTGCTTATGCTGATTTCTACTCTAACTAGTAAATCTACCCCTACTCTGTCTGTAACCTCTGGTTTAGGGGTTGGCATCCTTCTGCACTCCACATGTGGAATACATTTTCCATGATGCTTGCTCAGCATATCAACTGTAAGAGCATTGTGGGAGATGTAGTCCACTACACCTGCTGCAGTTTAATCAGCACTACATTTAGCATTGACCAGTAAAGTTTAAAGATGATTGGGACTCTACCCCTGGGATGTGACTTTGCCCACTGTATTGTTGGGCAAAGTCAAAATTGTAACCCCTTTTAACCCCTTAAGGACCAAACTTCTGGAATAAAAGGGAATCATGACATGTCAGACATTTCATGTGTCCTTAAGGGGTTAAACCTCATTTACTCAATCACAGACCCATTAGGAGATACATTTATCTGGGAACAAAAAAACACTTAGGTTACCCAATGTTACTTAATGGCAGCCCGAGAAGATAGGACAAATTGCAAGCCGGACCTGATGGATGCAAAGCCTTTGGGGGACATCATGACCTGTAAGAGCAAACTACACGTCTGATTGTCATATATGAATAGAAATGTGTATTTCTTTTCAAACATCTTGACATGATTAGTTTCCTCGCCTCTTAGCAGCATCTTCAGTCATCAATAAATAGGGGAAGAAGAATAACTATATAAATGGCAATAATAATAATAATAATTATTATTATTCCTGAAACACAAAATATTTTATTTCTAAGACACATTTGTGTGCTTTCCATGCTCCAAAACTGGACATTTATGCTACAGCGTTGTAATGATTAAATAGTATGATGAAAGTAAACACAAAGCATACATATGTAAATGTGCTTTCCATTGTTATCACTTAGGACTCACAATATTTGATTCCAAGTACAGAATGTATGGTCCACATGCTATAATAATTTATTGTATTTGGTAAAAGAATTAAGACGATTATGATAACAGCTGATTATACACAATAACAGTTTAATGGCAATGCATTGCATTTTCTGAAATGGCAAATGTATGCTTTAAATTGCCTCATCAAAATTTTTATTTCCATATGGCTTTTGTTTTAACTGATTTTGTATCAGTGCTATCTATTATCATTACAATGTGCTGCTTGGGGGGATTATAATATTTGCATTTCATTATGGAATTGGTGCAATGTTTTTTTTATCTTTATAGCAAGAAAGTAAATAGTTTAAATATATTATGAGTGTAGACCTAAATTGGCCTGATATCCACAATCAATGAACAGAATATGATTATACTGCAATACTGTATTGATTGAATACATGTGGTGAGTCAACAAAATAAATAAAAAATAATGAATACAATACAAAATTAAACAAAAGAAAAAACTTTTTCTGAACAAAAGATGCATTGTAAGTTCAGTGTCTGTAGTGTGACCGTGGGTGTAGGAAGAAAGAGGAAGGGGTCAAATTATCTCCAGAAAATTCAGAGGGGGTGGAGAGAATGAGATGGATAATGATCGCATATCACTATTTTTCATCGCCACTATTAATGACAAAACTGTAAAATAATGTGCTTTTTGTATTTTGTTTGCATGTGTTTCATAGTAAATCAGAAGATATATATATATATATATATATATATATATATATCATTTAAAGAAGAGTCAATAATGTGTATAAATAACAATAACAGTTTGTGTTACTTAGGATTTAAAGTCCACTTTACTAACTTGCAATGCTCTGACCCTAAGATCGATGCAACTTATCTTTCCTAATGTTGTGCTAGACCTGCCAGATCTTGTCTCACAGTGCCACCATATTTGTGTTCCAAAGATGGCCCCGCCAGCAATTCCACATTGTGCCCCTCTTTGGGTATGCACGTGTAGTGATGCACACGCTCAAGGCCTCCAATGGACCTGAGTTAAGTCTTGTGATCGTTCCTCTGATGATGTCACATAATGTTATTGTCTATTTGGACTGAATCCAAAACTTGAGCACTTCACAACAAAATCCACATGAGGTGTAAAGGGAAATGCACAAATGTATGTAAGCAAAGTGGCATTAATTGCTATTTAATAGTTTTTGGAGTGTACAATATAAATACATCTAATGACTGTGTTTTATTGTTAATGGCCTTCAAACCAAAATGTATTATCTTGTCAATAATTGTTTTAGCAACTAGCATAATGCTTGCCCTAGTTGAAGCAGCAAGCTTGAACTAAACTGAAGCAACTTTATAAATAACATCATGTGAAAAGTCAGTGAATTGATTCCCCAAATACATTAAGGTGCCAAAACTAATAATCATGTACACACAAAAAAATAATAATAATCTTAAAAGGATGTTTACAACTGGTAAAACATTGCTACTTTAATCATTTTACATAAATAAATATATAAATATTAAAAATAAAGTCAACAAGTGAAATGGTATTAATTGAGGCATATATAGATTAATATAGATTAAATCCAAATGATTCTAAAATGGGATGTGCTTCATTCATGAGATAACCAATGCAGTTCTTCTGTATGGTATCTGAACGAGCTCTCGAGAGTGCAGTTATTGCATCACACACAAATATTCTGTGGGGTTTAGTAGAAGTATAATGGCAGTTAATTGCAATCTCTGAAAAATATCAATATTTGTATGCTTTTGTAGATTATCTTTGCATTAACTTTACGTTTAACTTCTAATGTGTTTTCTCTAGTTGAGAAGCGGCATTATAAAAATATGTGATTAACAAGAAACCATATTTAAAGACAAACTCAAAAGGAAAGTAAGTTTTTAAATGCGGGAGATTGTTATGCTGCTTAATATTGCCGGTTAAATTATGCAGCAATGTGATATTAACTGCAGTAGGGTACATGTTTTTATGTTTGAAAAACTAGTTTATATAAAATTTCTTATCACGGGACAAAGCCACAGCAGGTGTCCCCTGTAGCTCCCATAGCAACACTACGTTAGATGAAATTGCTGTCAAAATGTTTTGATTTCTCGCTCTAAAATAGTCATAATGGAGAATAAATTATTATTGGTGCTATTTCTAACATGAGCATGATCCATTTGGTGATATTTTTTACCTCTGCTCCTGCTTTGTATAATAAGATGTCTAAATGCACTTTATACATAAGAACCAGAAGTGGGCATTTATTCTCAATGCAACTTTTGTAATTTTCACAATGTAACAATGTAATTTAATGTTTTGTTCAGTGCACGTAACATTAGCTTTAAGGTAGTAGACTTGCGAACAGTGGGATTGCTCGGTTTTCCTAAAATTAACATTTGGTTTGGAATTTTCCCTCCATTTGGTCCACAAATCAAGTGGGAAGTAACATATTTACCTGTCGCTAATTAATTTATTAGGGAGAGGTGAAAAAGTATGAAGGATTCTGGGTTCTAAATACCTCTACTAGCCTTCCAGTCACTCTGTGACATTATATAAATATATAAATAGATTTAATTTTCCTGCTATTGCTGAGTTGTCACATGATCTGTGAATAAAATCAGCATTTAGTTGCTGCCCACCAGCCATAAATCATATTTTTTTCATCATCAATCATCTCTTTTGGCACCATGAGTGACACATCAAATAACGAATGTTAGGCCATCGCTCATTTGCTTGGTTATACATCCGTATATTGCTTTGGAGATACGGACTTGGCCAACACTAAATCACCTTACTGTCCACAATACAACCTTTTTCTGGTTGCAAACATTGACAAAATGCAAAACGTAACACATTTTAATGCTAATTTATTAAATCATGGAATGACTGCATATTGCATTTTTGATATTTTATTGTTAAATCTCTCTACTACCAAATAGTGATGTCCCGAACTGTTCGCCGAACGGTTCGCCGAACGGTTCGCCGAACGGTTCGCGAACGGTTCGCCACGGTTCGCCACGAACGTTTCGCTGCGGACTCTTCATTGAGTAAACTTTGACCCTGTACCTCACAGTCAGCAGACACATTCCAGCCAATCAGCAGCAGACCCTCCCTCCCAGACCCTCCCACCTCCTGGACAGCTCACTAAGAATGCAGCTTTACAATGAATGTAAAATGGATGCTGTCCAGGAGGTGGGAGGGTCTGGGAGGGAGGGTCTGCTGCTGTTTGGCTGGAATGTGTCTGCTGACTGTGAGGTACAGGGTCAAAGTTTACTCAATGATGAGTCTGTGGCGAACCGTTCGTGGCGACCCGTTCGCGAACCGTTCGGTGAACAGTTCGGGACATCACTACTACCAAATAAAAGTGCATTTTCTTTAAAAATTGCAATAACACTTGCTAATGACCACATGTTTAAATTTTTCGTGTTATCTTATATATGGATAGCTTAGTTGTTAACGTGAAACTGTCAAGATAGTATTTATACTGCCTACATTTTTTCATTTACATTTTCAAGAAATACCAAAATTACTTCCGATCTAACACCGCCTTTTCCTCATGTGCACATACGTTACTCTTCTTGTAATATCTACCTCTTGTCCACCTCTCACTCCTCCTGCTCTCTTGTGTGATTTGCCTTGCTTAGGGATTGTCCCCACAAGCAGAACAAACCCCCTTCATGACGGCAACATGTTGGTCCCGTTGCCAGCATGCCGGCTCTGTACAGAGAGACATTTACTTTATTTCTCTATTCCCTAGCCAGTGCTAACATTGTTGGCAAAGGAGTTTCAATAGAAGTGTGGTTGCTATGCTTGGAAGAGAAGGAGGACTTCCTGTGGGTGGTCTTTTCTGCTCTGCCTTGTCTGTGAATTCGTCGGCATAGAGTCCATGCTGGAGATTTGACTGAGAAGTGGGAGAAAGACCTTTTTAAAATGTTTTTCCTCTAAAATTTCTAGTACAATGTATAGATAAAATCTATGCTCTTCAAAAAGTGCACAAACGAAAACATCCATGACAGGTACCCTTTATATAGTAGAATAATTGCCGTCAAGATGTTGCATTTTGAAATTGCACCAAAAAAAAAAGTATAAAAAAAAAAATGAAACTTAAACTGTGTTAGAGATTAGGTTAAAGATGTTAACATTTTATAAATTACATTGTATAAAAAAAAATAATACTCAGTAGAAATGCCCCTCTATTGCCAGCTGAAAATCAAGTTATATTTTAGAAAATAAAAATTAAACACATGACTTAGCTAAATATACTGTAAAATGAGCTAAAATGTGCTTTCTGCAAAATGTCAGGATTTGAACATGTAATGCTTATTAGATTATTTGGTATCTGGAGATTGCATTTTGTGCCTTACCAGGTTGTTTTTGCTGCAGTTGCCGCTTTGAACCTAATGAAATGTCTACCTTAATTCAAAAGGAACAAGAAAAGCGGTTTTGCTGTTTTTGCTGAATCTTGTGACAAGAAGTTTGAAGATTGCTTTTAGTAATAATAGTTCACTGTCACCCAAGTCAATATACAGCAATCAGAGTGAGAGTATTAAATAATGTCATCATTTCAGAGTTTTAAATCTTGTGAAAAATTAAGTATAATTTATTTAACCCCTTAAGGATGGCGGACGTGCTATGTCGTCCTTGGGGACCCGGCTCTAAACACTGGGGGCCGGCATAGCACGTCCCAGTCATCCTTTCTACTTATCCGGTCGCCTGCGATCCCATGCCGGCGTTCGCGGTGTGGGGACTCGCCTGGCAGCCCAGGGAGTGCCCCTCCATCTGTTTTTGCCCCCCCCCGGGCCATGTGATCGCGAGGTCCTTGCGATCACATGGCCCAAATTTTTTATTCATTAAAAGATTAGACAACATCTGGTTTCTGTCTGTATAGTGGGGATCAGAATCATTTCCATGGAAAGTGTTATAGTTATTAGCATTATTTTAGGGACCATGTTTATTATTTTATTTAGTATATTGTACTCATTTGCATATTACTTTAATTATCAGTCTCTCCCTCTAAGCATATAATTAGCTCCTCTTCTCCCTAGCTCCAGTATGTTCCCGTTTATTCATTACAATTGTTTGCTGTGCATGTGATTAATTCATGACATTGAGAGCTTAATATTTGGGACACATAGTATGCACTGTTTTTCACTTTCAATTTAGAAATTGTCTGCTGAGCACTGTCCCGTTAACATATGATTTGGCACATTGAAGCACTGTCACGTTAATCACCTGTCCCGAATAGATATCTATAAGAGCCAGAATTTCTATTATGCACATTCATACAAGTGTTGAATTAGATTTTACATCTAGTAATATATATAATCACCACATTATGGTGTCTGCACACCTATAAATTCGAGCACACTCTCGGCACTTGATTATTAGGTCTGATAGACTTTTTCACATTTAGTGATCAGATATGCAGCGATCACATAACTTTATATCAGTACTGATCACATTAGAAATAGGCTTTTTTAATATACAGTTTAAGGCAATATTAATATTGCAATCCACTTTGATAAGTGGTGTAAACACACAGAGCACGGCTGTTCTGGAGGTTTGTTTAGGCGTTGTCCTGGAAACGGACTCAAAGGTCCCAGATGACGCGTTATAATTGGGGGAGGAGTTTAGGTCCATGCATGCGCATGGGGGAGAGGGGCACGCCGACACACAGGTGATCAGAATGGGGTAAGTGAGTCTTCCTTATAGTCAGCATTGATATGTATATGATTTATGTCCCGAGGAAAGTTCATAATCATGAACTGAAACGTTGACTACATTGGATTAAACTATATGATTTTTTTCTTGCAAAGTCCTAGAGTGCTGGCTTTTTTCACCACTTTGTATGCTGTGCAGTCGAGCACCGGGCAAAATACCACTTGGAAAGCTGGAGTGCAGAACATTCATGAATTGTAATTATATATATATTAAATCAAAATACACATAGAATGATATTGATTAAATATATATAATTATCATTATATATTTATATATAATATAAAATAAATAAATATGTAAATGCGTAAAAAAAATAATAATAATAAAATAGAAAAATTAAAAATATATATATGTGTAAATTCATTCTAACTGTATTTTAAAATTTATATATATATATATATATATATTAATATCAAAATACACGTAGAACGAAATAATATATATATCTATATACATAAGTATATACGTTTATATCACTATATATATATATCTATATATAAATAAAAATAATCAATAAAATATAAATACATGTATATATATATTTGAGTTAGGTGGTCATGATAGTACAGAGTAAAATACCATAATTAAATGTAGGATAGTAAAAAGGGGCAAGTCGGTTGTGGTGTGCCGGAACCGACGATGAGGTAGGCCTGAGAAAGAAGAGGGCCTACCCAGGAAAAAGAAATAGAAAGGAAATAAATGTTAAAATATGGTGTGGTGGGAGGGTCATTCAATGCTGACCTCGAACGGTAAGGAGCAAGGTAAGGGGTTTGCCTTAAGTAGGCTAGGAGTGCATACCAAGCACCTCCCACAAATCCAGGCAAATTGCCTTAATACTTGTGTTAGGTGCTCATGATAGTACAGAGTAAAATACCATAATTAAATGTAGGATAGTAAAAAGGGGCAAGTCGGTTGTGGTGTGCCGGAACCGACAATGAGAAAGAAGAGGGCAAAATTAAGTAATCAAATTTATTACAAACAACCAATACAGATACATATATCAACCAGACATGTTTTTGAAAGCATCCCTTAATTCTTGTACTGGGTTCGGTATGTATCGTGAGTAAGCGGATGACTTCCAGCGCCCCAGTGTTTTTATAACATGAACTGGAATGTTGACACTGGAGGCTGTGGACGCTGCTCCTATGCGAAAGGAGTGCCCTGAGTAGTTAGCTGCTTTGAGGCCCTGTTGAGTGAGCAAGGACCTGACGATCATGAAGGTTGTAGTGGTGAGTACCGAACTTTGTAATAGTAGTAATGGTTGTGATGGTATTGAAATATGATGCTGTAGGTATGCATCCAGAACCTTGACGGGGCACCACTTGTTGTGCGTGGGGTAGTATGGAATGTTTACTGGTATGTGCTGGCTGGTTTTGGAGTGAGGTAGCGTTAGGATGTAATGATCCATGTGTTTTGTTAAGTGGGAATAGAGGAGAATAGGAGCAGATTGTGTTATGTTGGTTGTAGTAAACTCTCTAGGTCTTAGGAATCCATAGAAAGCTATGTATATTGCTGCTTTGATGACAGAATTTGTATTGGTGTCAAAAGGTTTTAAATCAAGCAGGTTAGATAATGCCTTGAAGATATGGTTATCTATGGGTAGCCTTTGTGATGTACGTGTGGGTTCAGGTTTGTGAATGCCTCTGAGTATGGTCTTGATCTGGTGAGAGGCCATGAAACTAGTGTTGTTAGGTTGTAAGATTAGCATATGGTGTTGAATGCCTGTG